ACATGACTTTCAGCATCATCTTTGTCTGGACTCTGGCAGTGTTTTTTCAAGGTTTGGAAAAGTATTTATGCTTGTATTTTCCAAAGAGAAATGACTGTGTGAGAATATTTGACTTCTGATGTTCTTCACTTGACAGAATCCATTGGGCAGGTGACAGTGACTCAGACTCCCTCACAGCTGCTCGCTCAAAAAGGACAACAAGTCAAAATAAAGTGTACAACTAGCAGTGCTACTCCCTGCTGTTGTGGTGGTACTGCATGTATTAGCTGGTATCTACAAAAACCTGGAGAAGCTCCTAAACTCCTTATTTATGGAGCGAATCAAGTGCAGTCAGGAACCCCATCTAGATTCAGTGGCAGTGGATCTAACAGTGATTTCTCTCTGACCATCAGTGGAGTCCAGACTGAAGATACAGGAGATTATTACTGTCAGAGTTACCACTACATCAACAGTAAAAGTGTGTTCACACAGTGATAAAGAGTCGTACAAAAACCTCCGTCAGTCAGAGTCACAGTGACTGCACTGATACAGCTGAGAGATACTGCAGCTGCTCATAAACACAATCACACACAACACTGATCAGATGACAAACACTAATAACACAATATCATCACAATCAACAGAAATCTTATTTACATTTAATCATTTATCAGATGCTTTTATCCAAAGCGACTTACGAATGAGGAGAACAATATTGCGACACGTTTTGATATCGACTTGACAAAGCCTTGTTTAAATGTGTAACCACTTTATGTTTGAAGGTTTTTCTGTCACACAGACAGCAAAAAAATCACACAGGTCATCAAAATCTCATAAACATAGTTCATTTATCAGATTCTTTAAACCGTTGATTTGGTTGTTTTCTAATCTAATCATTCAGCAATATAATTTTCACTTGATCTGAGCTGCAGCCACAAATTTTCAGTTTGAAATTGAGTTAAATTTTTAGAAGTGTAAACAAACGAAAAAATAAGAGTGGAATATCTATAATGAAATTGTAAGAAGCACAAATTCACTCCATTGAGTGAGTGAGAGGATGAGCTGCAGCACAGGATTTCGTAACTGGGCTCAAAAAGTGTTAACTTTGTCTAAGAATAATTTAAGAAAGTTTTCATGTAATCAGGGAGAAATCACTAAAAATGCCTTCACTGGAGAGTTTAAAACAGAGTGTGAGGTTTCAGAAGCTCTGGGAAGTGAGTGCAGGTTATGATGATTTACTTCCATCGACAAATCTATGGAGAAAGACATCAAGACAAATCCATGAATGCTGATTGAATCCACTGATAATGAGGCTCCATTAATAATAAATGTTAACTAGATTATGTTCACTACCTGTCTAGCAATGCATGCTTATGCTGAAATATAATTAAATAATGATTTGTTTTTGCAAACTGTGTCAATTGTGTGTCACAATGTGTATTGAGTTGGATTAAGGGAACATAGTGAGCATCGATGCTCCCTGGTTTTCACGGTGCATTGTGGGACTTTTTAGGGAACAAATGTTTCAGTGCACTGGAAGGATTTTGTGATTGAGACAGCCCTTAAAATGGCCAACTCCCTGAACTCGGGAGCTGATTGAGACGCACCTGATGTGTTTGTGTTCTAGGATTTTGCTGTAGACATTTGTATCATGTTGCTAGATATTTCTACAATGTTCTAGTATTTTGCTATGGTGTGCAGGTTAGTTTCTACCTAAACACTGTTTAATTTCAGAAAATTACAGTTATGTTGTAAATCTGTAGCAAACAAAACCGTTTTCACCAATAAATAAATAAATAAATAAATAAATAATCAGGCTTCACCATTCACAAACTCATGGGGACTTTGAGACTCATGTGATCTGTATGGCAAAACATCAACAGTATTAAAGCTGTAAATTGGAATCAAAAATGTCTTGTCATGAGACACATTCTAAATGTTTTGTGTCACCATGTGATACAAAGAGAACAACACCGCAAACATATAATAAATGTATGGCCGGTTAGTAGGGGGACCTGGGATTTGAGTAACACTTTTGCTGTAACACCTGTAACCAGCGCCGGCTCTACATAATCAGCGAAATATGCGGTTGCATGGGGCCCTGTGGCCAACAGGGGGCCACTTGTCATGGTTCAGACAGTAATGCTTGGTAATAATAACTTTGGTAAAGTTTGCTTGTGTCTGTCACGTGTGTTAATATTTGAAAATGAAGAGGCGGCACTATCAGTCTGGTGCATAGAAGAGGAAAAGAGGAAATAAAGTGAGCAAGGTAAAGTGATGTGATGGATTTTGAAAGTATATTGTTGAAATGCCAATGTAACGACTGTGTCATCTGTACAATAATGAACATGAACGGTACTGTTATTGTGGGCACTTCAAAATACGTGAATAATTCTTAAATAAATATATTATTATCCGAATGGTTTAGATTTTTAAAGCTTATTTCCATCGAACATTTAAGTTATACAACGCTGCATGTTTGGTGCGTGAAGGCTCTGTCAGATTTTCTCATTGATCTGAACAAAAGCAGCAGCCGGGCTGAATAAAAATGCAAGTTCATTCTCTGACAGCAGGTGGCGCTTTAGGAACAGCAGAAACCCAGCTGTTACCATGGTTACCACCATAGACACAGCAGAACTGCGCAAGTGCAACTTTCTGCTTCTGACACGTCACGGAGGTCAAAGGAAGTCAAACAGAATATATTGAAAAATTTCCGTTGCTTGAAATAAAATAGACAAACTTAAAACTTATTTTTTTGTTGACAAGACAACATTACTAATTTTCATTTAGTTTATCTTGATGTTCTAAATAACTAAAACTGAAATAAAAATGAATAACTATATACACATTAAAAAAAAAAATTGTAATAAAAAAATAAACAGTGAAAATGACAGCATATATGTATATATATATATATATATATAT